TCAAACAGCAGTCCGTACAGAACAGCCTTTGCCAGCAACAGCCACTATGGCCCGTGGCAAAAAGAATCCGGTCCAGCGCCGGGAAACCAGAGCTACATCGGCGAACAAGGAGACCGCACCTGTCGTCGCACCAGCCCCTACGGTGCAGACAGTGCCAGCTTTGACTGACGTCCCTATCGAGACGTCAGCCACACCTACCCAGACGCCACCAGCATCCGATGAGGCCCCTGTCGAGGCAACATCACAACCAGAAGTCGCCCCTGTCGTGGCGCAGGAGCCCACCAACACCCAACCACACAGGCAGCAGCAGCAGCGACCGGGAGCCGCCAGTCCAGAAATCCTACAGTGCTCGCGCTGTAACAAGGCGTGGCACACAGCCGCAGCATGCCGCAGCAGCCTGGCTTGCAGATACTGCTCACAGGCACATGATTTCAAGGAGTGCCCGCTAGCCAAGAAGGACCCGGACTTCAAGCAGCCCAACCCGAGCAGACGATGCTCAAACTGTGGAGGGGCCCACAGTGCGAGGTACATGGGTTGTCCGTACCTCAAGCAGATAAAGAGGGAAATGAATAATGCCGGACCTAGACACCAGCAGAGATACGAGGCACCCAGGCCAAGCTACACATCAAGCCAGTCCACCCGAACAGAGAGAAAGGAGGTAACCACCAGAGACCCTGAGCTAGTGCGCGCCCTCACCGAGCTCAAAGCCGAACTACGGAAAGAGAGAGAAGCAGCCGCCGCAGAGAAAGCAGAAACCCATGAGCTGATCACCCTTATGCTGAGGGAAATCAAGGCACTGAAGGAGGTCAGCTCAGCCCAAGAAGCTCAACAAAACAAGAACAACAAGCGCGATGCAGAAACCAGAGACAACATCCACGCAATCACCGAAAGTCTGAAAGTAGCCCAGATGGAATCAAAAAAGCATCGACAGGATGAGAGGCAGGAAAGACAGAAGGAGATGGCGGAACTCAAGGAGGCCAGAGAAAGCGCATATCTAGAAGTCACGAGATTGACCCAACTGAAATCAGAGAATGAGGCGGCGGTGCTAGAGCTCAAGAAGCTGATGGCCTTACAGGTCGAAAAAACAGATGCACTTAACAAACTCACCACCATCCAAGACGAAATCGCAGAAGCACGCAAAATCATCCAGGAGCTCAATCAAGTTAGGAGAAATCTTTCCAACGAAACAATAACGATCGGTAAAATTGTGGCTTTGGCCTTCCCAGAATGTGAGGCCCCGAGTGACTATGACCTGGAGGAAGACACAGAACCAGGCGAGGAGAGCGAAGAAGAACAGCCAACCGAACCAGAACACAAACATGCTGGCCGCACTAAACCACCCAGAAACCAGTAAATCTCAACAACGGACAGCACAAAAGCCAAACTTCACAAGCCGCCATGACAGCTGAACAACCACGCCCACCAGCCTGAAGAAACCTCACAGCCCACATCCAGACGACAAAATGTCCGCAGCCCAAGCCACACCCACCTACCTCACTCTGACAGAAGCCACAAACCGCAGGCAGAAATGTAAATCGCCACAACAGCAACGCAAATTACTGGAGAACAAACTCCAGACAACAAAACGCCGCTTCGATATAACCAACGCTCATTCTAGGAGCCGGTTGAAAAAGGCAAGAAGTTTTTCCTTTTTTTTTACCAACACCAGTACCAGTACCAGAAAGTAGTTTTTGTCAGCGGCTCTCTTGATGTATAACCTGTCTTGCAACCTGTAAGTTACGAAATGTAGCCTGCAGCCTGTTAATTAATAATAATGTCCTTGTAATTGTTTCTTTACGTGTAAATAAACCTCTAGTTTTAATTTCGATGTATTAAAAAAAAAACAGACATCGATTTAAAGCAAAGAGTCAGCATGCTTACAGCAACTTGAGTCAACTGAGAAAGGGGAACTTTTCATAACATTACACTGCACGCGTTTCAGCATAGGTCTCCCGTAAACTGCCTATTTTCAGTTGAGTCGGAAATAGGCTATCAAAATAATAGCCACGCATCACTGCACATGTGAGCTGGTTTCCAAACAATCTCAACACGTGTGTCAGTTACTGTAGATTCTATTTTTCAGGAGTACATACATTTTTAGTCTAACAAGGATCAAAGTAATTCACCGCTTTAAGAAAACAGCAGCGTTTACACAATTGTAAATTATAGAATCATAAATCCATGAGAAATATAAGACCAACGGTAAAATTTTTATTGATCAGTACAGGAGATTTCGTGATATTTATTAAAATTTGGCGGCATGAGTTTTGAAACGCACTAAGCTGATTTTTCGATGCGCCGAGCAGCCCTAGTCCAATGTCCATCTCCGAAATAATGAGGTTTGAGGTTTGAACAAGGGATCAACATCATGGCACATAGGTAGTAACCCATAAGTGCTGTGTTCTTCTTCTTTTATCTCAAGTCTGAGTCCGAAGAAGCTCAGCACAGTGCACAGGCTCTGTAGAATCCTGAAATACTTTAGGTAGATTTTTTACTCCAAATTTTGCCTGGGCAGCGCTGTTAGGCTACTGTTTTCGATTTCCAACTGCCAGGGGGATTTTTTTTAAACGCACAACAATGCACACGGGCGTCTGATCTCACAACCCAGAAACCAGGGGGATTTACTAGAAGTCCAAGTCCACCTTAAAAATCCCAGCCCTTACCTGGGATTGAACGCGGAACATCTAGCACTTGACACCATGCCTCGAAACCAGGCAACCCACCACCCCCTTCCCTAGAAATTCACCTTTAAGAAACCTACAGCTTGCTATAAATTCACCTATAAGAAACCTACAGCTTGCTATAAATTCACCTATAAGAAACCTACAGCTTGCTATAAATTCACCTGTAAGAAACCTACAGCTTGCTATAAATTCACCTATAAGAAACATACAACGCCTTATAAATGTTTAATTTAAAAAACCTTCAACTTATAAATTCACCTGTAAGAAACCGAAAACATGTTAGATTCTTACATATGAAGAATTAATTGAATTAGGTACTTAATAGTGTCTCTGTCCCGCAACACCAAAATCAAAATATATAAAACATTGACAAGACCAGTCGTTTAATATATCTCTGAAACTTGGAGCACAACTAAAAGTGATGAAGCCTTATTACAGGTTTTCGAAAATAGAGTCTTACGACAAATATTTCGACCCCTCAAAGATGCAAACAGCGGGGAATTGAGAGTGAGAAGCAACAACGAAATTCATAATCTGTTTAAATCACTATTGATCACTGGCATCATGAGAGCCAATAGACTGTCAAATGACAGAGAAGTAAAAACTGTATACAAAAGGGAGAGGAATGGTTGTAGACTACGAAGCAGACCAAGAAGACGATAGAGAGATATTGTCTAGACAGACCTGGAAATACTTGGTGTCACCAATTGGGAAGAGAAGACCAACGAGAGAGATGAATGGAAGCGGGTGATATCTGCAGCAATGAACCACAAGGGCTCGAAACGCTGAAGAAGACCAACCAGAGAGATGAATGGAGGCGGGTGATATCTGCAGCAATGAAACACAAGGGCTTGGAACGCTGAAGAAGACCAACCAGAGAGATGAATGGAAGCGGGTGATATCTGCTTCAATGAACCACATGGGGCTAAGAAGGCTGAAGAAGACCAACCAGAGAGATAAAAGGAGGCGGGTGATATCTGCAGCAATGAACCTCAAGAGCTCGGAATGCCGAAGAAGAAGAAGATAGCGTCTTACAGATTGTTCCCCCTTGAGAAATGTAAAGCTGCATTTTGCATCCACGGGCTGCGGGCTCTCTTTCTTGAAGTTATCCCAGAGTTCTTTGATGAGATCCATGAGAACGATCTCACTTGAGTTGTTGCCAACTGACCGCAGAAGGAAGACTCCGTCGTCGCGAAGGTAATTGTGGACAAATTTCTTGAACAGTGCCACTTCGTGCTTGGACTCTTGGTCACCAAGGATGATGAGGTATTTCTCGATGAAATGCTCCCGTCGTTTGCTGTGGAGATGTTAATTTTCATATATAGTGTGAAAGTCAGTTTGAACAACGGATTAACACCATGACCTATAAGTGCCCCGTTCTACTTCTAACCCAAGCCTGTCTGAGGGTACTCAGCGCAGTGCACGAACTCAGGCGAGGATCCTGAAATACTTTGGGTAGATTTTTACATCCTAATTTTTCGCGGGCAGCGCTTTTAGGCTACTCTTTTCGTTTATCTCTCAGTATGATGTCCTTGTGGGTAGAAAGTCAGCCAGTCAGAAAATAGCGGCCTTTTTTCTTAGAATACCACGAGGACATGAAATACCGACATCCTAAAAAATCTTAACATCAAAGATGAACATCAAGTAACTTGTCTCAGAAGCTGAAATAGTTTGGCCAAGAAGACGTCAAGTCACAAACCAAGAAACTCTAGACAAAACAGCTCTCACATGGTTACCAGAAGGAAAGATAAAGAAGGGGGGCGCCCCCTCCCCCCCCCCCCCAAAAAAAAACATAGAAGAACGATGGGGAAGACTGAGTGCTCATCTCTGACATGGAAAACTGGACCCCCTCTCTCATGGTTACCAAAGGAAAGATAAAAAAAAAAAAGCCATAGAGATGAACGATGGAAAGTGAACTGAGTGCGGCATCTCTGACATGGAAAACTGGACAAAACAGCTCTCACATGGATACCAGAGGGAAAGATAAAGAAGGGGCGCCCCCTCCCCCCCCCCCCCCCAAAAAAAAAAACCATAGAGATGAACGATGGAAAGGGAACTGAGTGCGGCATCTCTGACATGGAAAACTGCACTGAAGATTGCACAGGACAGGAAAGCATGAAAGTGTCTTCTTTGAAGCCTCATGCGCCATTAGGCATAAAGAGAATTGATGAGGATGATGGATAAAGAAGAACGAGAATACAAATGACACACACTGTACTGGCTATATGTCAAGTGTGATAAATACTTCTATCGGGTAGATATCATTTCAAACTTAAGTTGTTATCTTACCCACGCTTACCCATGCTCGTGACTCACCTGAAAAAGATGTTGTAGAGCCAGCTAACGAAGTTGATGATAGAAGCAACAGTTAGGAGGAAGAGCCAGAACCAGGCAATGGCAAAAATCTTCTCGATAAACAGGTTGATGCTCAGAACACACTGTTGACGTAGAAGTAACGGCTTGTGTACCGGCTCATAATGGCAACTAGTAAGTATGAAATATTATCTCTACAGTGAGAGAGAGAGAGAGAGAGAGAGAGAGAGAGAGAGAGAGAGAGAGAGAGAGAGAGAGAGAGAGAGTGTGTGTGTGTGAGAGAGAGAGAAAGACAGAGAAATGACAGAGAGAAAGACAGAGAGACACAGAGAGATGAAAGGGGGGGGGGGAGAAAGGAGACAAAGGATTGATATAGAGACATATTCAACGAAAAAGTCAGAGATTAGATTACAGAGATATAGAAAAAAACAACGAGACTGAAGGAGAGAAAGAGAGAGCGAGAGAGAGAGAGAGAGAGAGAGAGAGAGAGAGAGAGAGAGAGAGAGAGAGAGATAAGGGAGTTTGAGAACGATAGACACACTCACACACACACATATATGAGAGACATAGAGATATCGAGACTGAGAGCAAGCACGCGAGACAGAGAGAGAGAGAGAGAGAGAGAGAGATAGAGAGACTGAGAGATAGCAAGAGAGAGAGAGAGGAGGGGGAGGGATATCCAGAAAGATTCTGAATTAGGGTTATACACACATACACACACATATATATAGAGAGAAAGACACAGAGGGAGAGACTGAGGGTAACCCCCCCCCCCCCCCCACCCCCCCCCCCCCCAAACAAACTGAAGCGACACCTCAAGTACTGACCTGCAGTGTGTATGTCTGGATATTCTGCAGCTGTCGGATCTCGAAGTCACACATGACCACCCGAGGAAAGTGGTCAATGTCCACCCACTTACCTCCCAGGTGCTGCAACACTTGCAAGCCATAGGTCCAGTAGTTGAACTGTGGGCAGAGAAACAGCATGATCGGGTGTAAACAAAGAAAACAATCAGGTCAAGGTAAAGGTGAGAGGATCACATTTATTGGACAGGGTTTTATCCCCTTTGGCTCAGTCTCTCTCCGCAGAAAAGCTAGCTGCCCGTCGAGAGCGTCACACAGAGCACGACCTCTGTAGCTCAGGCGACGATCCCTATGGATCTAACGTACAAATTGCACTCGTGAATTGAATGACGCAGCCATGAAACGAACCCACGACCTTCAGAACGCAAGGCAAACGGCTCGACCACTTCGCCACAGAGGCCTCCAAAAGAAAACAATATGAATACTTTAGTCACCTGCTGCTGCTGCTTCTGCTGTTGCTTCCTCTTCTTCTTCTTCTTCTTCTTCTTTAATAGAATGTATCCCTCTATGTGATTACAACGCTTCATGCCAAGATTAAATGTTGCCATTGTCAGGACCTTACACAGATGGCAACGAACCGCCAGACATGGAGAGCTATGATATCTGTCCTATGCGCGGCCCTAGGCTCAAGAGGAAAGACTAACTAACTAATTGCCAAGAATCTTCTTACGTTGTCTTTTTTTTAAGGGGGGGGGGGGTAACTTTTCTTCCCATTAATCTTTTCAGTGGCCACAGCATGTCCTAGTTTATTGTTACTATAGGGCCAAACAATTATGACTGTCTCTTTCTGATGTCTGTGAAATGTTATCCTCAAGCCCTGGCCTTTGTCAAAACATCTGGGTTACTACGTTTTGCTGTACAAGGAATGTCAAGCACTATTTTACAAGGCTGCAAGACATTTTTTGGCTTGTTACAAGTTTGTCTAGTATTAACAGCATTGCTACTGCACACGAAATATTGAATGTTCAACCCTCTTGTGAGAATGCAGCCAAAACCAAACTGCATGTGAGACTTTTTACAGTAGATCATCTGGGAGGAAGGCCAGAGGAAGACCAAAAAAGAGATGGATACATAGCGTAGCCGAACACTGCAAAAAGATAGACCAACACATCACCCAAGCCACATGAGACGCACAAGACAAATGCAGAAAACCAAGACATTGGGCTATAACCTGGTATCAGTGAGACTACAAAAGAAGAGGATTAACAGCATTTTATTAAAACTGTTTCTATATTTTGAATGTTGAATTAGGAATCGACATTACAGCACTTGGGACACTCCCATTAGCGCTACGTCCACATCTTCAGCAGCAAGCGAAGAGTTCCAATTCCGATGGCACCAGTAACTATCTGACTGTATATCCGTCTTGCCCTTCCCCTAAGTGTGGAGCGGCTGTCAGAACCCCTGGTAACTCTTGATAGCGCCATTCTCCTCAGACTGTAATGCTCAATCAGTGCCTCCGCACTGTTCACTCGCTCCCAAAGGACCCTCACAATATTTAGCTTGTCATACATCAATTTATCACCAAGAGGTGCAGAGCCAGCCAGTCTATCTTCCTGCTCATTTCCCAACACACCAGCGTGACCCGGAGAAAATATCCATAGGATGTTGACTGCCTGGGACCTCTGGTAATGCTTGCCACTCTGCATGGAGCATGCCTGTGTCCACCCCCAAGCCAGCGGAAGGCAGCAGTGACTGTCCACATCCATTCTCAGACTAGACATTGTGATATCATATGCAAGGTTTTGTTGCACTAAGCGACGTCCATTCGCTTTTGCTACGAACCCTCCATGCACTGAGTCTGCCCCTCGACACAGAGCCATCTGTGTAGATAATCACATCATCTGGGCGTGACTTGTCATGAATCATTTGTTGAACTTCCGATTCCGCAGCTCCAGCTGACCAGTCACTGCACTCACGACCTAAAGTAATTAGAACCTTACACAAGTATGAAACTTGCTCTAACACTTTGACCCACTCCTCTTCCTGCCCACATTTATCAAGCCTGCACACATGTCCATTTGTGTCTTCAGCTTGCGACATCCAAGACTTTTCTCTTTTCAGTCTGTGACCCTTAGCTCCACCCAGGGCTTCATGAGGGAGGTGCTTCTTGTCTGTAGCTACTCCGAGATATGATTTTGCCTGCAGAACTATGAGCCTGTCTTAAATAGTAGGTAGTGTCAGTATATATCGCATACATACTACCGGAGTATCTCTTTTACATCCCAGAATTACCCGCTTGGCTTCAAGCTAAATGCGTTCACGTTTCATCAGCGGACTCTTTGATATGGTAAGCATTTAAAGTCCATAATCTATCACCGTTAGGATCACATGTTGGAACATTGTGAACAGCATTCTTTGTTCCATGTCCATTGCTGCCACAATATTGAGAGCATTGAGTCCTTTTTGACAATTCACCGCATCCGCCTCCACATGATCCCTAAGGGACAGACTTCTTTCGAAAAAAAAACGGTCTCTATAGTCCACGCAAAAGCTTTTTAAACCTCACATGACAGGAATTCATTGCATAGTTTTTTGTCTTCTTTTTTTTTTTTTTTAACTTTACTGAAGAGACAAGCGATAAATTAACCCCTATATGAACTACTAGCATCAGAAGCTGTCTCCAATTACCTTGAGGAATGCAGTCAGCATGATGAACTGGCCCAGAACATTGACAAGATACAGCAGTTTTATGAAAAGGTACAGGCCGGTCAGGTATGTGCCCTGTCTCTTGCCCAGCATGAAGCATAATATGCTAGACATCTTTTCTTTCACCTTGACCATCAGGTTATACTGAAAACAGCAAATTCTCATTGATTTCTAGCGAAAACTAAACATTGTAAGTGGTTTCTAGCAAAAAACGGCATACTGTGATTTGTATTCAAAACATCATTTCGCTTGTAATTTTTATTAACGAGTGATTTCTATCAACCACAGTCTACTGTAAGTGGTTTCTATTAAAAAAAAAACTGATTTCTATTGAGAACATCATATCATTTGTAAGTAATTTCTAGTAATTTCTAGAGAAAACATGATATTGTAAGCGATTTCTTGAGAAAACAGCATATTGTAAGTGATTTCTATTGAAAACAGCATTTTGTGAGTGATTTCTACTGGAAACAGCATTTTGTGAGTAATTTCTATTGAAAGCAGCATATTGTAAGTGATTTCTATTGAAAGCAGCATTTTATAAGTGAGTTCTATTGAAAACAGAATAATGTGTGTGCTTTCCATTGAAAACAGAATTTTGTAAGTAATTTCTAGTGCAAACAGCCAAATGTAAGTGATTTCTCGTGAACAAAAAAAATACATATTTTAAGAGTTTTCTACCGAATCCTGAATCTAAATATTGTATGTAATGCATAAGTAAAACAGTTTATTATTTCACCCCTGCATGTGGGGGGGGGGGGGGGGGGGGGGGGGGGGGGGATTTTTCCAGTTTTTCCAGAACTTAAGTTTTGCTTGAACGCCTGTTTTACAGATCTGGCTTATTTGAATGCAGACTGCTGGTGCCACGCCTTCCAGGCGGATGCTCTTGGACTTAGAAAGAAAACACCACTAGTAAGTCCTCTTTTACGACATGCTTGTTAGGTTTCAGTGTGTCTGTTCTTCTTCCTCTAAAAAGAAATAACAGGACACACACACAAACACACACACACACACACACACACACACCACACACACACGGAGATGGAACTGGGTGGCTCAGGCACCTTGGGGTGGGGAAAAAAGGGAGGGGAGTAGTCTAAGCTCTCTAATGATCCTTAAAAGAGCTGAGCCACTTATATCCTAGAAAATGTGTAAGGCAGTGTTCCCCTTGGCTAAGTGCAGGAATTCCCATTTAAAGTATGTGTTTATACATTTCAAATTATCACAAAAATATTTTTTTTAACCTGCCGCTCATAAAAGAAAATTAGTAACCATGGAAATGAGGTGTCTGAGAAAGACTGTAGGAGTGACCAGAAAATATAAAATCAGGAATAAGGTCATACTAGATAAAGTCGGCACAGAACCAATTCTAAATTACATAAAAAGACAGCAAATCAAATGGTTTGCCCACTTGAAGAGAATGCATTCTGATGCTATACCATACAAGGCATATACCAAAAGAGGAGAGGGACGTAGAGGAAGAGGTAGACCAAGAACAATACAATATATAACTTGTATCTTTTCCATTCTTGAAGGGGTACTGTGTATGTATGGTACATAAGTAA